AGTTTCTTAAACGGAAATGATTCCTTTATGAGTAGGAAAATGGAGATGGGAAACATTCTCTCTTTGCCATGTGGTTTGAAAGTAAAACTAATGGAAGGTTGTGGTTTGTATGAGGCCGCGGCCTTAAACAATCAAAGTAGGGCGCACCTTTAAATAGTGTCGAAATATATTGTTTCATTATCAGAAATTGGTATGATAGCCTAAAAATTTATTTTCATCTTTAGTTATAAAATATGAAATTAAAACATAGCGTAGATCGACCAGATCTATAAACACTTGAAAATCTTAAAAATTGATGGTCTAGATAAATACATTACAAGATGCATTATTTATAAAACTTGAAATTTATTTTTTCTCATGTCCATACATCATGAGGTCGAGATGATCAAATTGAGGGTTTTTCAGCATTGAAACATTTATAATGAATTTTTGAGATGCGCCTTACTTTGATTGTTTAGAACCTCGGCATTATATAAACCTTTTCCCTAACGGAAATGCACTATTTAACATTTTGAAAGTACTTTTCAAGATTCATTGGTCAATAGGGCCACTTACATTTAACACTGTTACAAAGTCAAAGAGCAGTTCATTTAAAAGTTCATAGGTGACTTGAGAGTTTCTTAGTGGGATACGAGTTCTCCAGGTGTAGACGTGTATGAAAGTGGGCTTGTGAGAGAATTTCCTACCATGTGCCTTGACATGTTTAAACTATCTTTTTGAGTAAATTTCACTTGGGTTCACAGGGTTCTATGGCGTGAGGCCTCATAACCATATGTGTCAACATCATAGTAAGGCCTCATAACCATATGTGTCAACATCATAGACGGAATTTAGTAATATTCATATTTAACCATTCTTCTTGTATATTGAGATTGCATACTAATAATATTGTCCATCTTTCGAAGCAATGATAAAAAAATGTCAGTTTGCATTGAGAATTGGGAAAAACGTTTCTTGCCGAAATTAGAATACTATTTGGTACAAAAGGACCACAATCATCCCTAGCCACCTGATATAAAACTCAGTTGGTAAAATTGCATTATTGACTCAGCCACAAAAGCTAGAAAAAAGGTTTCTCATACTTTTGTACCGAAAATAAATAATATATTACGAGTAATTACAACATTTCTGTACAAAAAATAGATAGTATTTTATACACTTTCCATTTTTTTTTATGCTGATATGCTATTTCTTCATTGGGTTTAATTACTTTTTGAGGGGCAACAGTACACCCTCAAAAAGTAATTCGACCCAATAAAGAAATAGCATGTCAACATAAAAAAATGGAAAGTGTATAAAAAGACATGGTTTCTATGAGTCCACGAACTCACATGTCGAAATACGGGCCCCTTAATAATGGATTTTTTAAACAGAATTCGATCCTAATTTTTAATGAATACATAATTTTTAACATGGAGATTATTAATCTATAAAATATAAAGAAATTTTAAATACTAAAAATGATATTTTTTTGTAAAAATATTTGAATAGTTGATTTTACTTTTTCTTTGAAGAACTATTATTATGAGACCGGGGTCGGTGGATAGGATAGATTTCTAAGCCCGCATGGTAACAAGTGCGGGCTTGGACGCACCAAACAAGTTTCCTTAAGAGTAAACGAAAAGGCAATGGGATTCAAGTTAGCCCTTGGGTTCAAAGAATTGGAAAAAGACAGCTAAAAAGAGGAGAAAGCAACTATAGCATTTCTCTTTCTATGTCTAAGACCTGTAACCCAGCTGGCCATCTTTCTTGACCCCTCAAATAAATGAGGCAAATAAATATCAACTTTGCTTGAAAAGGAGATATTTTTTATCCATATGGCTACTCCTCTTCACTTCCAAATTGTATTAGGATTTGCAAATTTTATTAGGATATGTTATAACTATAATTTAGCAAAACAAAGATATTATGCTCGTGCAGGGGTGTACTGTATATTTACTCCTTTGGCAAATACATTACTAAGGAGTATGTTAAGGACCCCAAATTTTGGGGACGTAGAGGCTAATCTCAAAAAAAGGTAAATAAATATAATAAAATCTCTCTCTTTGCATGTCTAAAAAGAACAAGATATTGAAGAACTCAAAACTTATATATATTTTTATAATAATCATTTGTTGAATTATTAGATGGATCCCAAATTTCAGACAAAGAGAATCCTCTCAAGCAACTCTTTTGTCGGAGGATGTAAAGTGTACACAAAAAATGCTCAATTATATTTTTGCATAATCTAGAAAATTGAGAAGCTTTATTAGGGTGAATGATTTTGTAAGGCCGCAGCTTTATAAAGCCGTACCTTAAAATCTTGTCAAAATTTGTACCATCCTAAAATTTGCAAATTAATAATTTCGGCATCGCCAATCATGGATCTAAAGTAATTGATTTCAATGCCCATAATGATATATCTTTATACAAACATTGTGAATCAGATAGTTTATTTGTTGAGTGATCTTCTGGATCTGTATCATTTTTTTTAGCTTCAAATTTTACATAACGAAACAAAATTTCAAACCATCACAGTAGTTTCGAAATCCGTTTCCCATGATTATGAGGTGCTGATTTACCAACCATTGTAAACCCGCAGCCCTACCAAGACCGCACCCTTATCACGATCAGTATCATTCTTCATTTTTTACAAGAGAGTAGCGTGGAGTATAGGGAAATCCTACTGTGTTTGGGAAAAGAGGGGGGAATTCAGCTCCTTTGAGGTAAGTCAACACCTTTGAATAAAATGATTGGTGAAGGTGTCGACAATAGAAAATGACTTACTAATTTTTTGTCTTAGTCTGCCCTCTATAAGATATTAAATGTACAAGTGGACTAAGATTTTAATTATAAATAATTTTTCAAAAGATTCAAAATCTTTCACAAGATTTATGGCACCTGTGAGCTTGCAATTTGAAAATATGAAACCAATAATTGAAACTAGAGTTGAGCATTGAAAATGTCAAAATGTACAGGAAAAAATAATTAAAATACTCACCAAATCAATTTCAAAGTATTGAGAAGTCGTAAGTCAATGTACAAAAAGAGAAAGAAAAAAAGGAAAAAAAGAGAGAAAAAGTATTCAAGCATAGGATGGGTGGTAACTACCAAAGAGTCTAAAGGAGATTTTTATTTTTTAAAGAAATTGGTCTCCCATCTCTTTCCTCATGCCACATCAAGAGAGACAATGAGAGAATTATATCTTGAAAAATATATTGTTTTTAATTTTTATCTCAATAATAGTTGTCCTCCATACATTGGTTTAGGGTTTGTTTTTTTTAGTTTAAATATTTTCAATTGCCTAACAGTTGAAAATATTTAAGTTGGTGTGGTTAGTTTAATTTGGATCAAGCGCAATGCAATCGTCCAAGTTATATTTATTTATTTTGGAATAACTGATGAACCATAGTTTCCCAGTACACTTGTTAACTTAGACTATCTGTATTTAAAAATTTATGTGGATGTATTTTCGTGTTGTTATCAAGAAGTTTTGATTTTTAGTGACTTAATAACGACCTTTAAATATTTTACTCATTCTTTAGGGGTAACCTAGTTAGCAATTAGATTCGTCATCATCGTTATCCGAGTCTTATCTTGATTATTTGGGATTGGTTATATGAATCATATTTTGCCATGCCGCTCTATCAAACAACATATCCTTGGTCAGACCATACACTGTCATATCTCTTCCTACTGCTTGAATCCATGTCCTTTTAGGTTTTCCTCTTACATTTTTAGAGTCTTTCACTTGAACTAAATCACATTTTTTAATTAGTATTGTTTTAAGTCGATTTGCATATATTCAAACCGCCTATATCTACTTTTCCTCATCTTATTGCTTATTTGAGCTATCCCTAAGTTTCCCAAATGTATTCAATCTGAATCCTATCATTCTCTTACAACTTATTCATCTCAATATCCTTATCTTAGCTATACTCATATGTTGTTTATTGACGGCCATAAGAATATTCCATCTCATGAAGCATGGCTAATACACTCATTGCTTGCAAAAGTTTCATTAGAATGTCCCCATCTTAATTATAATTAAAAACAACGTTAGGCATTTGACAATAATGTTAATATTTGACAAAGTTAATTGAGAGAGAGAGAGAGAGAGAGAGAGAGAGAGAGAGAGTACGTAAGAAGAACTAGTTACGAACAACGTAAAGTATACGTACGTCGTACGTAGGTAGGGACGCGACTACTACACACTACTTACTACCTTCCGTACGTAACCGTAACCGTCGTAC